TTGCTTACAAAAATTTATATGCCCTTTTCCAATACTACATCAAAATAAGTAAGTTTGCTAAAGACACCAACTATTTTCGTAGACATCAATGTAAATTTTTAGTAAAAATAGACCAATTCGACAGTGAGCATGCATAAAGGCGTATACGCGATGATCGATTCTTTAGAGCTTGCACCATTTAAATCAAACGAGTGCGAGCAAGAGGGAAACAGATTAGTGGCAGAGACGTTGATAGAGACGCTTAAGGAAAATTTCTGTCAAAACAGCAGTACGGTTTTTGAGAGATCTTTTGGCAATGTCACTGGCATCCATGTTTCTTCGAGACTCTTCAAATGACTTTTATACAGTTCCGCAAAGCTGTTGAGAAAATTTGAACGTTCGATCGGAACTGAATAAAAATAGTGCGCGGCAACATTTTACAAAAATAAAGCGAAGACAGTCGCTCCATGACAGTATAAATTTTGTCATATTTTACTGTTTTGTTTGCAGCGCAATTATTTGTATTATCTAAATGAAACGTTTTGATTCGAAGTTGTTTTGATCACTAATAAATGTTTTTTTAATTGAATCAACAATAAATAAATAAATAAATAACAGATATAAAATATTTCGTGAAAATAATTAAACACTTTTTTCATCATTCAGAACAATACTCCTTTCGGATGAATTGAGCGAACAGTAATGTTTATTTACTTTGCTCGTTTGGTTCAGCGTTTGACGGTTCGTTTGGTTCTTCTTGCTTCAGTCTATGCGTGTCTCTATTCAACGTCTCTGATTAGTGGGAAAACAAACCGTCAATTCATTTATGTGTGCTAGATAGAGAAAGACGATTACACGTCAAAAAGGTCTCTTCATCGATTTTCTCTTTGCATTGCTACAGCTAAGCGAAACAATTTTCTAGAATTTGTTCAATGAAGAGTATTAACAGAACAGGTTGTGGTCGAGTTTCGAACGCCTTTGGATACGGTTGCGTTTTAAGTTTGTTCTCTGTTTTGTGCGTGCGTTCGCATTCATAGTTTTCTTTTGCATTTGCCGGATTAGCGCTGGCACTCTGCCTCCCGGACGGTTATACGTGTGTGAGTGAGTGGTGGTTTTCTCGCTTTCCGAAAAGTTTTAGAATCGAGAAAGAAAACATGATTTATCATGATTGCAAGCAACAGAAGATTTGACGCTGCGTTGTTTGATTTTAATTTCTGATAATTTTAATTTATGTTTATTTACGCGGTGATGAGAACGGCGCTGATCTATTGTTAGGGTTTTGCGATGTGCATTACTTTTGTGCACGGAGTGACTTGAAAAAGAAAAGTGATATTTGGTTGTTGTTTGATTGGCGTGGAGAGAAAAATATACGTGGAAGCATCGGGAATGCGCTCCCGGGTGAAGTGATTTGGTGAGTACGTTCCAGTTGAAGATTGTTGACAAGTATATTTGTGGTGATGCAAATTATGGTTTAGATGACGCATGGCTTCAAACATTTTGTGTATCCAAATAAAACTTATTACATACTAAATACGCACAGGGCATCGTCTGCTGACCATTGCCGCGGGTATATCGTGGGAGTCCCAGGTACCCGGTTCAAGCTTTAGTTGGCGGTGGTGGCTCTTCTTGACCTTCTACCCCCTGAGTAGTTAGTGTGAATAAGGGAGTCTATGTGATGTTTTGCTGTACCTGTTGTGGACATTTAGTGCATCCTGTTCCCTTACCTTGTTGAGGACACCCTGTCTTGCCTCAAAAGTTACCCTTTTTGAAGTACTAGTCTTCACAACATAAGGGAGATCGCAGTAGACCGCGGTTGAAAGCTGACGTGTTTTTTTTTGCTGTGTATTTTTCGTCAGCGAATTAAATATTTATTGCTTTAAATTTGTTGATTTGTGTGCTGAAATTTAGTTTCAAGTGTTCATAAAGTTATCATTTAGTGATATATCGTGTTTTGGCTGTGTTTGCCTTGAGTGACTCGGTTGACCTTGGGCCTAACCTCCAAAATCTGCGACGCAGCTTCAGTTTTATTGTTCGGTGTCGAAAATTGCATGTCACATTTTCGACGTGTAGTTTTGTTCTATTAAGAGATTCGTCACCGTGGGCGAGTTTGAACCCGGTCCGGTTGGTGAATTGGCCCGGGAACTTGCTGATAATGTCTCCGTCGCGAGTTTTGGTGGTGATTCGGTGGCCGATGTTGCCGTGAATCAGCAAGTTTTCCGCTATTGGTGTCGGAGATTGTGAGCAATATGAAGGATGCCTCGCTGGATGCGCCCAGGATTGGACGGGTGGTGGCTGGTGGCCGCGAAAGGTTCCTGGGAAAAGCACTAGACGCGAACTTCCTCCCAGATGACCATGGCAATGCAAGACAATTTGTGTTCGTCGAAGGAAGTATTACGACAAAGGTGAATCACGAAATGAGATGCAAAGCGTAGAGAAAAACAAAACTACGGAACCCATGGATTAGACGATCAAATTAACATGGTGAGACCAGTCCAAATACTTTTTATAATTTAAAAACATAAACTGAATACGTGCCAGGATTCAAAAGAACATTTTGGAACTGGAATTGTGTGTGTAATACTAATGTCCAATTGATAGAGGTAATACATACATGCGGGGCTTATTGTAAGTGAAAGTAACCTCGGAATGGGCGTGACTCTCCAGACATTCTGAAATGGGTTGCTGGATCTGCAATAGAGCTATCACTTTCTAACTCCCGGACTAAAGCTGTCTACAATGACCATAAATGCGACATTGTAGAGAGAGTTCTTCCATAATAACACTGCCGGGCAGTGGGACTTAGAGGCAATGCACACACACACACACACGCACACGCACGCACACACACACACACACACACACACACACGCACACACACACACACACACACACACACACACACACACACACACACACACACACACACACACACACACAGACACACACATACATACACACACACACACACACACACACACACACACACACACACACACACACACACACACACACACACACACCACACACACACACACACACACACACCAGGGTAGACGCGATTCGCGACCAATTCAAAAGAATCTTATTATTTATTATTATTTCTTGCGTGAGTCTCATCGCGTCGCATCACGTGTCGCGTCTACCCTTGTTGCAGTCCAGGGCGGGACTTGTCAATCGAGGTTCTCTCTCTTCTTAGTGTTTTTAAAGAATGTCCTTCGGAAATTTGTGCGTGGTGTTTGACGGAGTTGACCAATCTGGCACCAAAGTAAATTTTTTTTTTCTATTTTAATTTGGATTTTATTTGGAGTTTCTACCGCAGTTTAGCCATAGAGGTAACTCTAAGACTAGAAGGTCCAGAAATAACGTGCTCAAATTTTTGGCTCAGCTCTGGTACTCTCTTCGGTCCCAAGCTAATCGATTCACCCCTCGAAACATAGAAAAACCAATAACCCCTAATTTTATCGGTCAAACTTTCATAGCGAATCAAAACAAACATTGTGTAGTACTAGAATTTTGACTAGAATAGGGTACGTTAATCGTTTGCTTGGGACCAATAGGCTAGTCAAGTAGTGAGCCAATTTAAAATCGTTAGTTTCGCATTGATTGTTGGTTTAGCCGCTTGTACCGAGGGGCACGCAATACAAAGAACCGGTGCGTTGAAGTTAAAATGCAATCAAAAGTACTTAAAGTAATTAATGCGTTTTGAAGTAGTACTGACGGTAATTAAAACTATCTATCCTTAATTAATGTAATTAAAAGTATTGAAAATGTGATAAATGTGCTTTAATTACAAAATTTCAGCTGCAATTAATGGAGTTAAAAAGTAGTTAATGTTTCACATTGTGTAATTAATGTAATTAAATCAGTAGTTAATGGAATTAATTGAATTACAGCCGTTGTCTGCGTTGTAGTTAAAGGTTATTGCGTGCCCCTAGGCTTGTACATCATTTTTGCTCAACACAATAAAAACAACCATAAACAAACAACAATATCCATCATTTAAAACACGCAGTGCGCTCAACTTTACAACTTTCCTTTCGCAAATACAAACAATTAACAAAGCCATTGACATCAACATTGATTCCGGCATCACTGTCAGGCAGATTGATGCGTTCCCTCTGTCCTTTTTATTCCACTCGGCTCGGATTTGACAGCATGACGGTGTATGACGATTTTTTATTTGAGAATACAGGTTAACATGTTTAGAAGTCGCTTCACTGATTTTCAGAAAGGTTTGCAGTTTTCACTCACAAAATTCCGAAGTCAAGCGACGGTTGACGTAAAATAATTCAATTTACTGGTGTGCTCAGTAATTTTGGAATTTCGTTCAATGACTGTTTCAGTAAAATATGATAAGTCGGTGTTCTATTTTACTGAGTTTTAATTATTTGCCGTAAAACTTTGTGTGTGGTAAAACTGTTAATTTACCGTAAATTCAGTAATTGCTATTACCGTATTCAGTAGTTTGTTACAAAAGCTACCGAACATCAGTAGTTGCATTTAGTTAGTTGGTTATCTTTATTAAGGAGACTTTCAGCCGAACGCTGGTTCGTCTCCGGTAATTAGTTGTATTTAAAATAACTGCATGCTCGGTAGTTTTTGTGATTTACACTCGAAGATGAACTAGCCTACAGCTAAAAATCTCCTAAACAAAGGAAAAAAATATGATTTACAATTTGAAAACTGTAAAAGTAATTACAGAACAAGGAAACCGTGATTAAGTTTGTTGATTTCGCTGATTATGAGGAGTTATCAGGAGTCTTCGGGCACTTATTTCTTGGCTCATAATGAATATAAGATTTGATGTAAAACCGTAGTTTTAAAATTAAAAAAAAAGCAAGTGGTTTCTTTTTAATTATCATGAACAGTACGGTTCGGTTTGTTTAGTGTGGGTGTTTTTTTTTATCGTGCACGAGATTAATTTTTAAATTTGACAGCTGCTGGTAATATTCAAAGAACGTACTCCTAAAAAAGCGACAAATGTCAATGGAACTCAACTTCAACTCGCAGACGGTGCAAAAAGTTGTGAAACGGTGATGGGATGGTGTTAAACAAAGTATTGCATAAATAGAACAATTGCACAAAATTTAAAATTTTCTTAAAATAGTAGCACAATTTGTGGTTGTTTCCAATTGAACGGTGTTCGGCTGTATCATTTCCATTGGAACGTACCACCAAGAACACGCCAACATGGTTGTAGGAGCTTTTCCGGCCGCCAAACTGGGCGTTCTGGCCATGAAACAAATCTCCAAACCTATAGCCAGTCTACTCAAGGCACGAGCCAAGAACAGTCCATTCTTTCGGAAGTATGTTTGTATGCCACCGGCACAGTTCTACAATTGGATGGAAGTGAAGACCAAAATGTGGGCAATGAATCTCGGAAAGCCCACCAATGTGCCTGTGTTGAACGAAGCTATGGCCATTGAACTAGGAGCCAATCTACTGGGTGAAATTGTGATCTTTACCATTGGTGCCGGCTTACTCCTACTGGAGTATCAGAGGTAAAGAAACTGCTGTGTTTTGTTTTTATCCTGACTAATTCAAACTCTTGCAGACAAGTGCGAAAAGAAGATATGAAAGAAGATATGGTTATGCAGGAAAAGCTCGAACTGCAAGCAACAATCAATGAACTGATATTTCAGGTGCAACGGCAAGACACTCAAATTAGGGAAATGGCTCGAGTAGTGGCAGATTTAGGTAACATATTAGAAACAAGCACCTACAAGCTTATTGCGACTATATATCAACATTATGCCTTACAGAATCTAAATCATCATGGAAGCCAAAGATTTTGGCTGATCTGACCAGCAAAAGAAACAGTGCGGAGCAGCCGTTATATATTCCGGATAAACCGACTCCACAACAACCGCCAACCAGCGGTAATTCCGGTGTGGTAACAAAAGCATTGAATGTGATTGAAAATGAAGTCTTTTATAGAGAAAGCGAACCGGACAGCGAAGAAGACGAATCCGGACGAAGAGCGGACGTTATCACGAAAGCCATAATATATCTGGTGGGTGACACCAGCAATAGAAGTAGATAAATGTATTGTTCTTTCGTTCGGTTCGTTTTGCTCTTAGGTTGTTGTTTTGTAAATAGATTTGAAAGGGTATGCTTAGATTGCTAGATACTCTTACTTACAAAAAATGTTTGAATAAAAAGACATGCCTGAATTATTGCTTGCCCTTTTTTGAAATGCCAGGTTTAGACAGAAAGAAATTTCAGATTGAGCAGTTGCAATACTTTGTTTAATGCTGCCATTAGCGAAAATACGTCTTAAAACTAACCCTATGTATTTACTAGTGGGACCTTACAATTAGGATCGGTTCCTTCCGATGAAGCCAATAGTGACAGTTGTATTAAAACCGAATACTGCATCATAATTGCTTAGGTAATATAAGGCCGATTTAATCCGAGTTAACGGATCATTTTATCGATATTCTCCAGGGCTGTGTATAAAGTAATGTGGTAAAGTATGGCATTATAATTCATCCGCATTTATCCGCAAAAAGATTTCGAAAAATATTAATGAATTAGGACTTTGAGAATAAACATCCTAGACGGACTTAAAATTTTCCAAATCCTATCAAGTTCGAAATTTGTTTAATTCTGGATCATGGCCTTGAAAAATATTTAAGGTTCTGGACATAGAAGAATTTTCGCAATTCAAAGATTTAGGAAACTAGATCTAAACATTTTTTTATTATTTATTATACCGAGCTTAGAAATAATTTAATATTCTTCAACTTAAAAAAAACCAAACAGAAACATGACTGTTCAAGTTATACAACGGACACACACTTTCAGTCCAAACTATTTTATTTGACTACTTAGCTTAATGCTTTCTCCGGCAAGTTTTAAGACCCAAGCGCGTTGACAGTGGAAGCAGAATGGCAGCGCTTCGGAAAAGCCCGATATGAGTAAGCCTACCTGTTGGATTGAGAACTAGTTAGAACCAAATCGACTTCGGTGAGGCATCTTGATATCATTTGTGACAACTGTCAAACTTTCCGTTTCCGTTCCAGTCCGGTCCGCCTTTAAGCTCTACTTGGGGCCTTTAAGCTCTACTTATAAGCAATATAGATCGAGATATATATAAAAATAATGAACCAAATATTTGAAGCAGCATGTAGTTCTTACGAAATTTTAAATCACATGTGCTCTAAAATGCAAATTTTATACTCATGTCAATATTACTTGAATACCAGGATAAATTTTGCAATTGTGTAAAGCAAGCTATTTTTTTATTTCAGCTATTCTAAGCACACCAACTAAAATAAATCTTCTAGCACAACTAAAATAAATAAGAATTTCGTAGAACAAAGTGTGTGTACGATTTTGCATAATTTTCGGTGTCATTTTTCGGCCTACGTTTTAAAAATGTGGAAAATTGACAATAATGTATATACAAATTCTGATACTTCCTAATACCATAAGTGACAGTTTTCATTGAATATTCACATCTGAAACACATAACATAAATTTAGTTCTGACTATTAAGTGTGTCACCACAGTTTTCATCACATTTTGTTCTAATTGAATGACCTAACAACTGTAAATGATAAGATTTTGTATAGGCTTCTACCGAAGACTTCATATCAAGAAGACTGGCAACTTTACCAGAATCTAAGCGACAGATGCAGTAGCGCTGCGCTTGAGTGAAGGTGAAAAAAAAATAGAAAAATAGGCAAATACACAAACCTTTCTTCTTAGGATGTAATCTTTGCTATCAAATTCGTTCGAAGCATTTACCTTTGAGCGGCAGATGACGCGATTGTACCTGCGCATAGCCAGAGTTGCCAGTCTTCTTGATATGTTCTTCGCTTCTACGTTAATGTATAAAAAGGATCATATGGACAAAATTAAAAAAAAAACTTGTTTGTCTGCGTGAGAAAACAAAAAGATGGAAACAGAATATAATGTTTTTGGTATTTTGTCATGCATTTTTTAGAATACTTGCTTTGATGGTTCATTCTAAATATATGCGTTTGGTTATCATTAATTCAAGCAATTTATATTTTTGTTTGGATCATCATTTATACATTTTCAGAATAAACAATACGGATGCAATGAAAAATGAAAAAGTTACAAGTCATTTTTATATAACTGGAACAGTCCTCTTCAACTTCCATAGTAGCAGGACGGAGCAGGAGAATCCAAAAAAAAATGTCTACGTAGTTAATGAACAACTCCATACATCGTGTTCGACGCTTATCCGTCCGTTGCTCGACAGTGAATGACGAAGAAAACAATTAGGCAAGCGTTTTTATTATCGCTGCTTTTCTCCTCCCTTCCTTTCATTGGTGAAATGGTGAGCGATCAACCGAGCATTGAACATGCGCAATGTGTCGTTTGTTCGATTTGCACTCTATCGTTGCGTCCGTGGTTGGGGTTTTTCGTTACATGTCTAAATTTCGATTTTTTTTTTTAATGTAACTCCCAGTATAGAAATTAAAGACGTAGTCCTACGTCAAAACCCTAATTGGTACTGTAGCTTGTAAATATCAATTTCGCGAGGATATAATCTTACAGCGAATTTATTTACCATCCGAATTGGAAACAGTTCGACTTACTTACCTTACCAATCAGGCTAAGGCCTTGTTGTTCTCTGCTGTCCGAAGAAGTCGTCTCCACTCTACTCGAGCCATGGCCACACTTCACCAGCCTCGTAGTCTGCGAAGGGTCCGCAGGTCGTCTTCTTCCTCGATCCACCTTGCCGGCTGCGCGCCTCTTCTTGTTCCTGTTGGGTAACTTTCGAGAACCATTTTCACTGGGTCGTCGTGCGGCATTCTTACGACGTACCCAGCCCACCGTAGTCGCTCAATTTTTGCAATGTGGACGATGGATGGTTCTCCCAGCAGCTAGTGCAATTCATGGCTCATTCGCCTCATCCACGTTCCGTCATCGCATAGTAGGTCATCCAAGTCTATCCGCGGCATTAAGCAACACAAAAATAGTTACTTGAAGCGATCTGTGTTCATCTGATCTGTAAACTCCTGAAATATTCCGATATTACAGTTAATAAGTATTAGTACACAATTGTTCGAATTGGCAGAACCCTAAAATTGTGTGCAAGACATGATTTCTTAAAATTTAAAATCTACATAATATTTGAAATTTCGAAATCTCGAAGAAGAATGTGAAAAGAAAAAAAAACTGGCTCAAAGTCTCAAAATCCTGACAACTTGACCCATGTTCTATGGAATTCTATTATATAATTATGAACGTATTACGTAAAATATTAGGCAGTGATATCTTCCTAAAAAAGTTTCGTAAAACTAACGATTCAGATGTTACACTATTCATACTTTATTATTACACTTTAGTTCAATTAAGAGTACATTAATCGCAATATACCACGATAGCTTGCAGTCCGTCTATCCAATCTATTCAAACGAAAAAGAGGGGAAGTTGGAGCTCAGTGGATTCATTTATCATTATACCGAAAAGTAATACAGCCTTCCTACTCTCTAAAATCGTCATGTGCCAATGTCTTTGCGCCCGATGACAGTAGTGTGATACTGTGATCGTGCGGTGTTGTTAGGACATACCAAAATAAATATAGTAATTTTGTTGTTGGATGCGTTTAATTGCCATCACCGCTGTCACTGTCGCTGTCATCTTCCGATGAGGGTGAACTGCTGTCCATGGTTTCGATGTAGTTATTAATGTCATTATTGAGCTGCTGGTGGATTCGAAGTGCCTGTCGAGTTATCCTGCGGTTCAAATTAGGGGTAATGACTGAGGGCGTTCCCGTTGTACTAGTGCTGACTGTTCGACCTGAGACTGGTGCGGTCGATGTTGATAGATGCGATGCAGTAGAGCTATTACCGGTGCTACGGCTGCTACTTCCACTCGCGCTAGAGGACGTACTGTTTTGGTTTGTTTGTTGATTGGCGCTCTGGTTGTGCCTGTTCAATTGCTGCCGAAGCAGCATTTCCTCTTCTCGCAGCTTTTTAAACTTTTTCTGTGTTTCGGCGATTTTTCTTATCATTCCATGGTGTTGAATGACCTTATTCATACATCCTTCGCATACGGTTTTCGGAAGTGGATCCGACGGGGCGATCTATAAAAAAAAAAAAAAATGAAACAATCAATATATGCATATTCAGAATGCTCCTATAAATTGTACATTCATACATACGACCAATGAATGTAAAATTATTGAGAACATTTATTTCATCCAATGTAAAATTTAAATCATATCCGCATTCCTTGGAAATCATTCATAGGTTAATCCATGTGGCTTTCCAAAAATTAAATATTTGTTAAATGTGTGTTTGCCCTGAAATATGAAAGAGATAAATATGGTCCTCAATACTCAATAATGAAAAAATGAAAATGATTTTTTTTTGTCAAGGTCATCCCTGACCACTTTCAGGGATATCCGGAACATGCCTGAGAATGTTCAATGTGATTCTGACTGCTAACCCGAAGATCAGCATTGATATACATAGTTGCACGAAACAAGAAGGCTATGTTTGCCTCTGCGAGTTTACGAAACAAGAGCGTTGGTTGTCCACTAAAATCCGAATTATTAATTCCCACGTGCAATCCGTACATTACGCTGGCAAAATGTGGTTCGTATCTGCTGAGAATACTCAAAAGCTGCATCTCATCGACCAATGCCAGCCTGCGGTGTATAATTTGTGCATGGCGGTCTTATAACTGGATCTCAAACGCTGAGCTCGATACCGCCAGAAATTCGAGAAGCGTCCTCCATTGATAAATAAAGGCAGTTGACAAAAACCTCAGCTAGTTCCATGTTAGGACGAAAATTGCAAATCGTCTGCAGTTGAAATCTTTTACGTTGGCCCTATTCACTAATAATGAAATAACGTTTTGAAGCAGCTGTTTAGAAAAAAAAAAAAACCAATAATTTATTTGTAGGATCGGAAAGTTTTTAGTCTTAAACGGCAATATTTCAGTATCCTCTTTTTTTACTCAAAAACTTTAATTACTAAGGGTACATTCTTCGCTTTTAGCAGCATGCAGAATATCAATAAAGCTTGTAACGGTTTCTCGAAGCACCAAACGAAAAAAAACATTCCCTGAATATTTTGATATCTCTTAATGTTGCAGAATATCGCATCTTAAATCAACTTCAGACACTAATAAGCGGATCCTTTAGCCCCATCTTCTCGTAAACCGTTTCAAGAGTCACATGCACAATAGCATACGGACGGATCATATGATACGGCTAATAAACCGAAAATTTGCTGAATTTTACTTCAATCCGAGATAGGTACTTTGCACAGAATTCGATTTCGCTAATAGGCAGTTGAACCGCTAGGTATGAATAGGAAATTGCGTCGAAGTCTGCGAAAACTGCTGTTTTGACGTACAGGAATTGAAGCAAATAAAAAGAAACTGAAGTACGCTGCACCTTACTAGCTTCCAGTTTCGGTAGGCACTGCATCAAGAACATTACTTTACAGAAGTAAGATTAGAATGGGGCCATTTTACCTACCTTCACGGGAAGATAGTTGTTGATCTTCTGTTCCAATTTATGTCTGTCTCCTTCGGCACCATAAATAAAAATTACTGATCGGTGAATTTGAGAGCACAATCTACACAGAAAACCGGTAATACACGCTTCTTCTATGCTTCCCATTTCGAAAATGCAGGCAGCTTAGTTGATTTTACGATTTTCGAACAACAAAAACGAAATTTTCTATCTAAAGTAAAATTTTAATCACAAAATTTTCACAAAATCCAGCGAATTATTTTGTTATGACCGTCGTCGGTCGCTGACAGTTTTTAGACTAAGGGTCCAGTGAAAAAAAATGGATTACTAACATTTTCTAAGTTTTAGGTTCACTCAAATATTACATAGCGAAAGAGGGGGCGCCTTCCCTAATAAAAACAAACACCATAAACGAATGATAGCTCACACGAAACGAAAATCAATTATTTTATTCATGTGTTTCACTTATACATTTTTGCCAAAACATCAGCCTATACATTCCATAAGACAAACCACATAGGTCCTATAAGAATGCATAAAAGGTATGTGTGACAGCTTATACATTTCATTTGACACATGATCTTCATGAACTTTTTGCAAGGCGTCTGCTTATTAGTTGACATATACATTTTATGAATAATCAAGAATAAAAATTTGCCAAAAGGTATAAGGAGATTTCTATCCGTGCAAATGATTGAACTATTCCACAAATGGTTTGGATGATACCCCGAACAAGTCGTTCAGCAAAATAGCCACAACAATTTTATTAGGGAATGAAACACAAAAATCGAGATTAAAGCGCTTGCCTAGGCGCTTGCAGAGTAAAATAATGAGTTTGACTTTGAGATTTAATAAATTCACTTATGTCGTTTTCGTTTTTGCGGTGTAGCACTGGTGTAGTGTAAGCAGGAATAAGCGCGAGTCTTTGACAGCTCAACATCATTTGTTTGTAAACAAAGGTGCATCCTATATCTACACCCTAAAATATTTCGGTGTACGGCAGTGTTGCACCGGTGTAGCTACACCGCAAAAACGAAAACGACATTACTCAACTTTGATGCTAGATGTACAGACAAACAGACATAACACATTGAATATTTCTCACTGTAAAACATCGTCGCTAAAACATTACCGCCATCTGTTGAGTACACTGTGATGGGTAGTACGCTCAACAGATGGCGGTAGTGTGTAAACGTCAAACGCAAGGGAATTGACTATGCGCGCCACGGGTGGCGGTACTACCAACTACGATACTTTTAAATTGACCGTTAAATGCTTGTTCGATGAACCACTTGCGAGTGTTATGTCTGTTTGTCTGTGCTAGATGCTTTGAAATGGTTGTCGGTGAAGAAAAGAATTGTATATTTCAAGAGCAAATTTTCATTACGTCGAATGTAACAAAGGTAAACAAAGTCGAGCTATCAGTGTCAATCGATGCTCCTGCTATTACACTATATACTGTCCGAATATAGGATCACATCCCATTTTTAAATTTATTTACCAGTCAAATTGCTTTTTGACGTAATCACCTTCCGATCAAAATAGTTTTCGATGTTACTTACGTCACCCGATTTCTATGGAGATGCCGTTTGCCTTAAGTAACAGCACTGAGAAACCCGTGAAAAGTGTACTTTCGTCGTTTCGCTTTCTCATTATTAAAGTGAATAAATCGAACTGTTTGTTGCTAAGATGATTTCGGTGGTCCTAAAATGATGAATGGGATGCACGTACACACAAAAAATTATCGTTAGTAAAACTGAAAAAAAACATTGGTAGAATTAAAAGTTTTCGTTGGTTCTTTTTGGTAGAAAGTCTTTAGCTTTCAAAACAAAAGTCAGCTAACTGTCAATTCAAAAGTTGCGCGCACACACTTAGATATTTTCGCCGAGATGGGCACCACCGAGCAGCTCGGCATTTTATTTTGCTGGATCTCAGTGAAAAACTTGCCGAGATTCAGCTAACAAACGGGAATTTTGCCGAGATCTCAGCTAACAAACATATTTTTTGCTGAATTTCCAGCAAAATAAAATGCCGAGCTGCTCGGTGGTGCCCATCTCGGCAAAAAAATCTTAGTGTGCATGCTACTTTTAAAAGTTGAAACTTTCAAAACAAATTGTAGTTCTGTCAAATGAAAAGCATGATAGTGTTATAATAAAAAGTGGATTATTTTTGTATCGAATCAAACTTTTGTCATGAAAGTTTGGTATAGTTGAAATAACATGTGCCGTTTTGAATCTATAACATAAATATTTTCAATTTAAATTCAAGCATTTTCAACATTACAATATCAGTTTTTATTTCAAATTATTATGAATATTAATTCAATCAATTCTTTTTTTTATGAATTTAAAAAATAACCTCAAATATATTTATTAATATCCACTAGAATATACGTATTGTAAAATATAACAAATATATTAATTACACCCGGTTTCGGTAGACATTATCCATAAGCTCTCAGCGAGTATAAAATCGTTGCCATTGTACTGCGATATCACAAAAATTTCATGGAATCCGGAACCCAGATGGATTTTTCCGCCGATTATTGACTCAGACTTATTGATGACAACGGTAGATTTCATCGTCTGGAAATAAAATCAAGTTGACTTCATGCAATAATATTGATAGTTAAATACTTACAATTTTAACTGTTGATTTCACCGCGCACGAACTACATATCCGGCATAACAGACAAGAAAGAATATTGCCTTAAAAATATCTAACGAATTTAATTTCTGCTTCGAGTTTTGTTCCACACAAAGAACATGATTTGCAAATTTTGACGTCATGGTTAAAATTAGCGGCAAATCTATGTCCAGTGCTGCCAAAAACGTTGCTATGACGAAGTTTTTTTGACAGTTAAACAGTTTTCATTTTGAAAATATGCACTTTTAAAAATACAAGTAGAAAATGAAAAATACACTTTCAAAACAAACCAAACACTTTCATTTTGAGAATTTCCGTGCTTAAAACTATCAAAGCTGAGAAATTTTTATTTTGAAAATACATGGTTTTCATTGATACAATTTTTGTTTTTTGTGTGTTAGGAGACGTAATTGATAATTCTCCCGAATATCCTGGTAAATACACTTTGACTTAAGTAACAATAGGGGCCACCAAAAGACGTATAATAACTTTTGACTCAAAAACCAGTATTTCTTAGCATGAAAGCTAGCGATTTACCTTTGTATGATTAAAACCCGGCTAAATATGTTAAACATTGCTATCACTATGAGATTATATGTGTTTAATTGGAAATAGGAATAACTTTTCGGTCATCAAAACAAAACTTTATTTTTCTCGGATCGGTGCGAATGTTACTTACGACATAATGAAAATTTGCTCTTGAATTTAACCTCGTATTTGACTATTGTGTTCATTTTTAAAGTAGTTAACGATTTGCTGCCTCGATATGTGTGAGATCGAATTGAAAAAGGAAGTGATTTTCGTAGATATCCCTAATAAAAAATACCATAAGCGAACGATAACCCAAATAATAGAACAATTCTACAAATAGTATGGATTGTTGCTAACACTGCCAGTCCGAACTTTTCTACTCGGGTATCGCAGTCGTCGCGCCGTCAACCGTCAGGCCACCCCTGAGCGTAACCATAGCAACAAAATAACGATCGGGGCAAGCGGGTGTGAAAAAATAGTAAAAAATTTGTTCAGAGTGAAAAAGTTAGTTGACTTGTCTCCAAGTTTGTGGTCAGTTCGTGTCGTCTTTTGCTGAGGGAACCCCTGGCGAATAAACTGAAATTCCTTCCCCAACAAATAGCCTGGACACGAACTTCTCTCGACAGGTGAGAAAAACCCGGCCGTCAACGACCAGGACGATTCTTACATTTTGGTCCTTCTCTCGACAGGTGAGAAAACACCCGGCCGTCAACGACCAGGACGATTCTTACATTTTGGTCCTTCTCTCGACAGGTGAGAAAACACCCGGCCGTCAACGACCAGGACGATTCTTACATTTTGGTCCTTCTCTCGACAGGTGAGAAAACACCCGGCCGTCAACGACCAGGACGATTCTTACATTTTGGTCCTTCTCTCGACAGGTGAGAAAACACCCGGCCGTCAACGACCAGGACGATTCTTACATTTTGGTCCTTCTCTCGACAGGTGAGAAAACACCCGGCCGTCAACGACCAGGACGATTCTTACATTTTGGTCCTTCTCTCGACAGGTGAGAAAACACCCGGCCGTCAACGACCAGGACGATTCTTACATTTTGGTCCTTCTCTCGACAGGTGAGAAAACACCCGGCCGTCAACGACCAGGACGATTCTTACATTTTGGTCCTTCGAATGTCAAACGACAGTTTATATGGAACCGCAGTTACGCCGCTCCAATAGAGAAACTCGGGGCGCAGTACCGAGACGATTCGAAAACTTTCTCGTGGGCCTTCCACGTCATTCGAACATGTATCGAACTCCTCCAGTCAACAGCAATCCGCAAGATCAATCGAACCTGCAATCCAGGAACGATGAGTCCGTTCTAGCTTCAAATGAAAATCGCACGGATAAGGTATATGTCGCTAGTTCCCGTGGTTCAAATGGAGCGCCCTCGTCTGATCGACGTTCAAGTAGAAGCCGGTCTTCCAAAATCAGCGAAGCTGATAGCCAACTCAGAGCCCTGTTGTTGGAGGAGCAGATTGAGGAAGAAGAACTAAAGGCTTCAATCGAACGAGACAGGATCCTGGCTGAAAAGCAACTGGCTGCGTTGCAGATTCAACAAGATCTAGCGCTGAAGACGGAACAGAGGAAAGTGGAATTCCTAAAGCGAAAGCATGAACGCGAATCGAAGAAGAATGAACTGAGGTCTGGTTCAAGTCACGACTCGAGCATCTCCAGCAGATCGAGTGCGTGCACCAGTACATCGAGACGTGTTTGCAAATGGCTGTCTGAATCAGATAAAATGAAGACAGATAATGCAAACATTGAGCCGTCTAACCAATTGGCCCGACCATTATTTCACGAACCTGGAGCTAGAAATCATGTAACTGCTCCTGAGCCAGGAGTGAATGAAATCTTGTCTCAGGCTTTCAAGGCGTTGCAGAGTCGAAACGTAAAAGACCTGCCTTCGTTTTCTGGTGACGTAATGGAGTGGACGATTTTTGAGAGCGAATTCAAAACGTCCACTGAAGAGTTTAAGCTGACCGATCGCGATAACCTGAGGCGGTTGAATAAGTCGCTGCAAGGTAAAGCGCGCAAGACCGTGGAATCATTGCTTTCATCTCCTGATAATGTACAGCAGATCATGAGGATGCTGAAATCTAACTTTGGACGCACGGAATGGGTGGTGGCGAATAGATTGGAAACACTGAGAAACCTGGAGAGCATCAAGGAGGGAAACATCGAGTCCTTTCGTGTTTTCTACAACGCGGTGATTGGAACCAAGGTTGCGATGCAGAATGTCAAGGCGGATAATTACTTGATGAATCCGGAACTCATCTCACACCTGACTGAAAAACTGCCTGCATTCAGCAAGCAGATGTGGGTTCGACACAAGGCCGCTTTGATGAAGGAAGATGTCGTAATCGACTTCAACATTTTTTCTCGCTGGTTGGAGGATGAGATGGACAATCAACTCGCAAGTCTAAATCCTGTCTTCAGTGCCAAGAAATCAAACTTCTCACTGAAGCCGAAGCAGATTGTTCTCAACGTCAACAGTCGTGAGGCGGAAGAGACAGCGAAGTGTCCGCTATGCTCGTCAAGATCGCATGCTAGTTTGGAGAAGTGCGAGCAATTCCGCAAGTTATCTGTTGCTCAACGTCGGTCTGCTGCTAATTCTTGCAAGGTCTGCTACACCTGTCTGAGCGCGGATCACACAAGAAGAAACTGTAAATCCAAGAAGAAGTGTTCGATCTGTGAGAAGAATCATCACGAACTGGTCCATAATGATGAACTTCCAATGACCACCGCGTCTCGCCGACCGGATACTCAAGACAGTCAGATGAACGTATGTAACGTGAACGGTAAAAACGTCAACACACTGCTCCGAGTGGGAAAAGTGAAGATTCGTGGTCCGAATGCCGTCGAGGAAGTGTTTGCCCTTTTTGATGAAGGCTCTTCTCTCTCGATGATGGATGCTGCTGTAGCGACGAGGATTGGAATGCAAGGGCCGATCTCTTCCGTGAATTATAGATGGACTAACGGCATTTCACACAAGGAGGAACATTCCATGATGTTATCTTTCCAAATCTCTGGACCGTCGGAACAAGCGAAATGGTTCGTGGCAAACAATATTCGCACGGTGCAGAACATCGACTTGCCACGGGTTAAATTTGACGTTGACAGAGTAAAGCTGTTGTACCCGATGTTGGATGAGGATAAACTGGCTGCGATACAAGATGCTCGTCCCTGTATGCTGATTGGTTCGAACAACGCTGGTCTGATTGTACCTCTGAAGACGGTGCAATACTCACTGAACGGTTTGCAGTTGACTCGGTGCCACCTGGGTTGGACGATTCACGGAGTAATTGAACCGAACGCTGCTGGATCAAACGATCATCATGCTTTCCTGATGTGTTCTGAAGACGATGACACCGAGCTAACGGATCTGGTGAAGCAGATGTACAAGGTGGAAGACTTTGGCATCACTGGTCAGTCCCCGAAGATACCAGACGAAGATCAACGTGCACTGGATATAATGAACCGTACAATCACGCGACGAGGAGAACGCTTTGAGGTAGGACAGATCTACAAGTACAATAACTTCGCATTTCCGGATAGCAAGCCACATGCACTGCGTCGACTTCAAATCACCGAGAAGAAGATGGATTCCGATCCTGATTTCGCTGAGAAATACTGTAGTAAGATCCAGGACTACGTGGAGAAGGGATATGCTCGAAAACTGGAGCCTGAAGAACTTGCTGAAACACCGAACACCTGGTATTTGCCTCACTTCAGCGTGGTAACTGCCGATAAGTTCCGATTGGTTATGGACGCCAAGGCCAAATCTCACGGATTTTCGTTGAACGATCTGCTACTGAAAGGTCCTGATTTCGTTCCCGCATTGATTGCGATTCTGATGCGCGCTAGGAAGAAGAAGATTGCTTTTGTGGCAGACATTATAGAGATGTTCCATCAAGTCATCATTCGTAGATTGGATCAGGACTCCCAGCGTTTCTTCTTCCGTGGTATGGATCGCTCTAGCCCCCCCAGCGTATACATTATGATGGTGATGATATTTGGCGCTGTGTCTTCTCCTTCGATGGCACAATTCATCAAAAACTTCAATGCAATGGAACTGGAAGAAAAGTACCCTGGCGTTGAACGAGCTGTGCTGGAACAACACTACGTCGATGACTATTTTGATTGCGTGGACACGGAGGAAGAAGCCATTGAACTGGTGCAGCGAGTGGTGAAGGCACATGATCACGGAGGATTCAAACTGGTGAAATTTGCATCGAACTCTGAAACTCTTCTGGATTCGCTTGACCCTTCTTTAGTAGCCGAGAAGAAAGGAAGTGACACTCGTGTACTCGGTATCAGGTGGGATCTTCTTTCAGATGAATTTGTGTTCCCGTTGGATTTTCCAAAACTGGATGAGAACTTCCGTACTGGTGGCACGGTGCCTACCAAACGGCAGCTGCTGAAGTTTATGATGAGCATCTTCGATCCATTGTGTTTACTCAGTCCGATTACGATACACCTGAAGATTATGTTCCAAGAACTGTGGCGGTTGCAATCCGGATGGGACGACGAAATTCCTGATAGCCTGGTCCCGAAATGGATGGAGTGGTTGAGCGAAACTGCTAAGCTGGAAGAAATACGTGTTGCGAGGTGCTACTTCCCGGAGGTATCGTCCTTTGCCGATGCTGAGCTGCATGCTTTCTGTGACGCAAGCGATAAGGCTTTTGCATGTGTGATTTACATGGTTCATCGTCGAAACGGTAAGTCACACGTTGCATTGGTGTATGCCAAGGCAAGAGTTGCTCCACTGAAATCATCGACGGTACCACGACTTGAACTTCAAGGGTGTGTTCTTGCAAGTCAAATGATGAAGGTAGTTCAAGACGAACTAAAAATAGAAGTGAATATGCAGTACTTCTGGACCGATTCTAAAATCTGCTTGAGTTGGTTGAAGACGAGTCAGAAGCTCACGGCATATGTTGGTTCTCGTGTCATGAAAATTAAGGAGAATGATCATGGAGTTGATCTGTGGCATTGGGTTCCATCACAGCTGAACGTAGCTGATTTGGCTACGAAGTCCTCCAAGTTTGGTTGTATGCAGGAATGGTTGAAAGGTGCTGACTTTCTGTATCGGGATAGTGTCCATTGGCCGAACAATGAACCGCTAGAGATGTCCTCGTCTGAGTTGATAAATTTCCATATGGAAGTGATTGCTGACGTTTCCGTGGATCCGATGTGTTGTACCGTGGTTGAAGTTGAGTTAGTTGACCTTCCCGATATTGAGAGGTTCTCTGATTTCAATCGCTTGATTAGATCTACTGCGTACTACCTGAAAATGCGAAAGATTTTAGCACTGCCAAAGTGTAAAAAGCCTAGATATTTGACAATCTCCGTGAACGACATGGATGAAGCTAAGAGTGCCTGGTACAGGAAGGTACAGTCGCAAATTTTCTGTGAAGAGTTGCGCAGTCTGAAGCAGACCGGATTCGTGAAAAGCAATAGTCGTTTGAAAACATATTCGCCGTTTCTGGAAAACGGAATCATCCGTATGCGAGGTCGTGTGCAGGATGATGGAAAGTCGTTTGAAGTGAACAATCCTGTGATTCTTCCTGACAACCACCAGTTTTCAACTCTACTGATTCGTATGTACCATATCGCCAACGCACATCAAGGAATGGAAACCGTTGTTAACAATATCAAGGAACGGCACCGTATCCTGAAGATTCGCTCACAGGTAAAGAAGTACACGATGTCCTGTGTCAAGTGTCGTGAGCTTAGAGCAAAACCGACCGTTCCGCAAATGGGAAACCTACCACCGGAAAGAACAACCCCGTTCGTGTTCCCGTTTACATGTACGGGTATTGATTATTTTGGACCGTTGTCTGTAAAAGTGGGTCGTCGTGTTGAAAAGAGGTGGGTAGTATTGTTCACGTGTATGACATCAAGAGCTGTACACTAGAGTGATGCAAAATTTGAAATTTTCGCTCCACAATATTTAAACGATTTCAAATCAGATCCTGACGAACCTCTCAAAATTTGAACCCATTTGGGGAAAAACTGAGATGGCACAAACCATTTGAAGTTTGTATGGGAATTACTATGGTAAAACCAAGATTTTTGTTCATGTCTATCTAATAATTCACCATATCGGTCTGCTTCAAAAACTTTCAACTGTATTTGTAGGAAATTTTCCCAGCTACAATTTTGCTCAAGAACACTTTTTGATTAAATGTTAGGATCGAAAGTTATCAATGGTTCAATGCACTGATGTCTTATGATCATGCTCAATCAACTGCTCAGCAGGCAACATTGGTGTTTCTGGGGCGTTGAATAGGACACAAAAATCATGGCTACTATGTCACACTGCAAAATACAGTGTTGCCTACAGAGCAGCTGCCTGATCATGTCATATGTTTACCAATCTCTTAAATAATTAATAACATTTTCCTGTCTCGTTTTACATAGAAACAATCTTGAGCAATGTTGTAGCTGAGAAAATTTTCTATAAGAATGGCTATCGAACTGTTTCGCAGCTCAATATGGAAAAAGACTAGAAGGCAATGAGCAAAAAGTTGAGATTTCCCATAGTAATTTACATGTAAACTTCAAATGGCTTGTGCGAAGTCTGTTTCTAACCAAATGAGTTGTAACTTTGGGAGGCTAATCAGGACCCAATTTGAAACCATTTAAGCACTGTGGAGCGAAAAAGTCAAATTTTGCATCAGTCTACTGTACACCTTGAAGTCGTGCCATCTTTAGACACGGGCAGCTGCATAATGGCCATCCGCTGCTTCATGTCCATCCGTGGCTTACCACAGTGCATCATGACCGACAACGGTACCAACTTTACTGGTGCAGATGCTGAACTGAAGAAACTGGTGAGAACTCTGGATCAGCCGCAGATTGAAGATTCGCTGAGCGTCAGAGGTGTTAAGTGGAAGTTTATTCCACCTGGTGCTCCTCATTTCGGAGGTTGCTGGGAACGTTTAGTACGCTCTGTGAAGACTGCCCTTCGTGCAATGTTACGGGATAGGCACCCTACGGACTTGGTGCTGCGTACTGCTTTATGCGAGGCAATGAACACCGTAAACAACAGACCTTTGACACACGTTCCGGATGACCCCCTGGACCCTGAACCGATAACTCCAAACATGTTGCTGCTTGGCCGAAACAATTCAATCCAGTTCGACCATAATTTTGATGAACGAGATCTTAACTGTCGTGCTGCCTACAAGCATTCTCAGATTTACGCGGATCGTTTCTGGCGCAGGTGGATAGCCTCGTTCCGTCCGGAGTTGATCAGAAGCCGCAAGTGGCCGGACAGCAGGAATTACCACGATTATCACGTCGGTGATCTAGTGATGATAGTGGACGAATCGCTACACCGAGGAAGCTGGCCGAAAGGAGTTGTAGAGAAGATCTACCAAGGACCGGATGGAAAGGTGAGAACAGTTGCAGTGCGGACTTCAAAGTCGACCTACAAAAGACCTGTAAGCAAGGTTGTGCTGCTCCAGGCAATCAGCTCGGTTCCTGGCCCGGAGAATGTTGCTAACACTGCCAGTCCGAACTTTTCTACTCGGGTATCGCAGTCGTCGCGCCGTCAACCGTCAGGCCACCCCTGAGCGTAACCATAGCAACAAAATAACGATCGGGGCAAGCGGGTGTGAAAAAATAGTAAAAAATTTGTTCAGAGTGAAAAAGTTAGTTGACTTGTCTCCAAGTTTGTGGTCAGTTCGTGTCGTCTTTTGCTGAGGGAACCCCTGGCGAATAAACTGAAATTCCTTCCCCAACAAATAGCCTGGACACGAACTTCTCTCGACAGGAGAGAAAAACCCGGCCGTCAACGACCAGGACGATTCTTACATTTTGGTCCTTCTCTCGACAGGTGAGAAAACACCCGGCCGTCAACGACCAGGACGATTCTTACATTTTGGTCCTTCTCTCGACAGGTGAGAAAACACCCGGCCGTCAACGACCAGGACGATTCTTACATTTTGGTCCTTCTCTCGACAGGTGAGAAAACACCCGGCCGTCAACGACCAGGACGATTCTTACAGGATGATACCCCGAACACGCCGTTAAGCAAAATAACAATACAATTTTGATTAGGGATGCACTCATAAAATTCGACACATTTTTATTGGCGAATTTTCATGTCAAATATCACATGATTTTCATAAACAGAATCCACTCAGAAGTACACATGAAATGTATGAGTCAAATGAATAGTGTGTGGTTACACATGAATATGATGTGTACACAAGGGGTAAGTCACTCAGCATATTGTGCCGCAATTATATTCGGCGCAGCTTAGGCTGTTTGGCTGTATATTCAGGAACATCCTCTAATTAAATATACCAGAGGAACTCAGACCAGCAGTTCACTTCTCGGTTCACTTATAGATTTAAATCCGAAGTGCCGGTAAACTGATTTATCCTTGCGATTTCAAACCAAAACATTTAAGGTGTCAAGGTCGGCGCACAATAGATACGTTTTCAGGTTTTTTGACAGTTAGCCCATGCATTATCTGTCATAAAAAACCGAAAACGTATGCATTTTGCGCCGACCTTCAGATATCAGGATATTTTACACACAATCACAGCTTGCTCTATGATCGGCACAATTGGCACACCTGCGGCACACTGAAAAACAATATGACCCAAGATTGGTGTGCGGAGTGACCTACCCCTTGTGTGTACATATAAGAACCATAGAGGTAATACGGTGAGGCTAGATTTTGCATACAAATGTTTTTTTTTTTTCCTTTATTTGAGAAATTTTTAGCCATAGGCTAGTTCATCTCTTAGCCATACAAATAAGTGTAAATTGATAGCGGTGCCGGTGGTGTAGTTGTAAGTGTGATTACCTCTCACCCCAGCAGGGCTGGGTTCAATCCAATCCAATAAAAAAAAAAACTTGGTCATCTGTTGCGTGCTGTACCATCATCATGACTGTCGCATTAATGGCCCTTCGCTCATTTTCAACTTCTATTCAATTTTCATACTGCCGTACTCTAACGGAACTATCCACCTACTCTCTTCTAAAGATCATTCTCTAGCTAATAAAATTATCACACTAAAGCTTCATGTTAGCATTTCCAACCAGCTCTGAAAATCGCTAACTTCGCGTATGAAGTAACATAAAAACACTTTGAATGTATAAATTGATATTTTTTCTTTTTGAGTAAACTATTTTCGGTGTAGCACGCCGTAGCATTTCCACCGGGATCAAAGCAAATACTACACGCTATTTCAAAACTTCCCAAATTTGGGTAGAATCCACTCAGATCGGTCAAAACTGAACCTCACCAAAGATGGTTGAACTGTGCTGGGAGTGACAAGTTGACAAATGAACAACGTCGATCGGATTCATGTCGATGTTCTTTATTTCTCAACTTGTCACTTCAAACACAGTTTACCCTTTTTTGGTAGGGTTCAGTTTTGACCGATCTGGGTGGATTCTACCAAAATTTGGAAAGTTTTGAAATAGCGTGTAAAGTCTTTTGCACCGGGATGACGCAACGTCAACATGTCATTTCGATTGTACTAAATTTATGTGCTAAAATCAAACTCTGTACACGTATCTGGTTGTCATGAAGTGCAGAGAAAATTTGTAAGAATAAATTGAAGAGTTTTGCTGTAGATTTATTGTTTATTAAAGGTAAGTAAGTTGCAATAGATCGCTTGAGCCAATCGCTTCGAAGTGGTGTTAAAATCGGTTAAATTTCGTCTTGGTTGAAAGGCGAAAAGGCAGATAAAAAATCATGGCTTTTAAACGAGAAAACGTCGATTGGAAAATGGATGGATGTGGGTGCTACCGCCGCAATGCAATTTGTTCTTCGTGGAACATCGCCGCTTGAGTGTGATGAAATTCATGTTTTTAATCGCATGTCTTTTTCTCTTATATCAGGAATACTGGAAAATATAAAAGCGTAAAAATGTCGCTGTCGGAAGCCTCTTGCTATACTATCATCAACGCACAGGAAACTGAGCCCTACAATGAGATGCAGCTGAAAATTGATCTTGGTATGTTTCTCTCTAAGTTTTAGTAGTAGATCTGTAATTAATAATATAAAACCTATTTTTTTTTTGCAGAAAAAGGCGAGTTGAATGTGAAAATAGATACGTTGAAGAGAGTCATCCAGTTGCTTCTGAATGGAGAACGACTCCCGAGCTTGCTGATGACTATCATTCGGTTTGTTCTTCCACTGCAGAACCATACTATTAAAAAACTTCTGTTGATTTATTGGGAAATTGTACCGAAAACATCACCCGATGGAAAACTGTTGCAGGAAATGATTCTAGTGTGTGATGCGTACCGGAAGGACCTTCAGCATCCGAACGAATTTCTGAGGGGATCGACTTTGCGATTCTTGTGTAAGCTTAAAGAGCCGGAACTTTTGGAACCTCTAATGCCGGCGATTAGAGCTTGTCTCGAGCACCGTCATTCATATGTGAGAAGAAATGCTGTTCTAGCGATATTCACGATCTACAAAAACTTCGAATGGCTTGTGCCAGATGGACCAGAATTGATTGCCAACTTTTTGGATACGCAACAGGATATGTCGTGCAAGCGCAATGCTTTTCTGATGTTGCTGCACGCTGACCAAGAGAGAGCCCTGAACTATCTGGCATCATGTCTGGATCAGGTGAATAATTTCGGTGATATTCTTCAGCTGGTCATTGTGGAACTGATCTACAAGGTGTGTCATGCAAACCCTGCGGAGCGATCTCGTTTCATTCGTTGCATTTATAACTTACTGAACTCATCCTCAAATGCGGTTCGTTATGAAGCCGCAGGAACGTTGGTCACACTTTCCACTGCTCCTACAGCGATCAAAGCTGCCGTTAGCTGTTACATCGAGCTAATCATCAAGGAAAGTGACAATAACGTAAAATTAATAGTTCTGGACCGGTTGATTGCATTGAAGGAGAATGAAAACATGGAACGAGTTATGCAAGAGTTGGTAATGGACATTCTTCGTGTGTTGTCCGCTACGGACATTGAAGTTCGTCGTAAAACACTTACCCTTGCCATGGAACTCGTTTCCTCGAGAAACATTGAAGAGATGGTTTTAGTGTTGAAAAAGGAGGTTTCCAAAACTCACAATATCGAACATGAAGATACCGGCAAGTACCGTCAGTTATTGGTTCGAACTCTACACAGCTGTTGCATCAAGTTTTCCGATGTGGCTGCAACTGTTATTCCTGTGCTTGTTGAATTTTTGTCGGATTCAAATGAACTGGCTGCCGCAGATGTATTGATTTTTGTGCGAGAAGCGATTCAAAAATTCCCTCACCTTCAGGAGCTCGTCATTGAAAAATTGCTGGAAGCTTTTCCAGCCATCAAATCGTCCAAAATTCAACGGGCTGCTCTTTGGATTTTGGGAGAGTATGCCACCTCGGTAAAGGACATCATGGACGTGATTGCCGTCGTCAATCAAACGTTGGGAGAGGTTCCGATTGTCGAAGCCGAACAAAGACGCTTAGCTGGCGATGAGAGTGAGAATGATGAAAATAAGACTTCGAACGCCACTGGCGTTCCCAACAATAAGGTCACATCCGATGGAACATACGCTACGCAGAGTGCATTTAGTGTTGCTCCGTGAGTATTCTTACAATCAATCCACTTTATGTAATTCGTAACGGGAGTTTGATTGATTGTTTTCCTACATGTTTTTTTTTTTTCAGTGTCTCCAAGAAGGTGGAACGCCCTCCGCTGCGTCAGTATTTGATGGATGGTGATTTCTTCATTGGTGCAACTCTTGCCTCTACCTTGACCAAGTTGGTGCTGCGATTCATCGAAATGGAACCTAACGAAAAGAAGCAGAACCGACTTTGCACTAGCGCTATGCTGATTATGAGTTCGATTCTTCATCTGGGCAAATCGGGTCTACCAACGAAGGCTATAACAAATGATGATACGGACAGGATTTTCCTCTGTCTCAAAACTCTTAGCCAACGCACACCGGATGTAGTGCAAATCTTCAAACAATCCTGCCGTGAGGCTTTGGCTGGCATGTTGAATGCTCAAAACGAAGAGGAACAACAAACCCAGAAGGATAAGCAGAAAACGGCCGCCAAAATTCAACCGGATGATCCGATTGCTTTCACGCAGCTGGCTAACGGAAAGAACGATCAGTTGGGTGAGAATGTTTTCGAGTCGAGTTTGAATCAAGCTTTGGCTGGTACCAAGAACACCAGTCTTTCTGACGTCGCTTCACCAAACAACAAGCTGAACAAAGTGACGCAGTTGACGGGATTCTCGGATCCGGTATACGCCGAAGCGTACGTACATGTCAATCAGTATGATATCGTATTGGATGTGCTGATTGTTAACCAGACAAGTGATACTCTGCAAAATTGTACGCTGGAGTTGGCAACAGTTGGTGACTTAAAGCTGGTAGAACGTCCACATCCGGTTGTTTTGGCTCCGCATGATTTCTGTAACATCAAGGCCAATGTTAAGGTGTCGTCTACAGAGAATGGAATCATTTTCGGAAACATTGGTGAGTTAACTTCTACACAGAATTGTATGCATTAGGTACAAAATTCACTTCGATTTCATCTTGCAGTATATGACACCACTGGTGCATCGAACGTGGTAGTGCTAAACACGATTCACATCGATATCATGGATTACATCCTTCCGGCAAGCTGCACGGACACCGAGTTCCGGACCATGTGGGTCGAGTTCGAATGGGAAAACAAAGTATCGGTAAATACCACCGTTACCGATCTGCATGAGTATCTGAAAATGCTGCTCAAGTCGACCAACATGAAATGTCTCACACCGGAGAAAGCCCTCTCAGGACAGTGCGGATTTATGGCCGCCAATATGTACGCTAGGTATGGCCGGAAAATAGCAAAGTGAAATGAAGAAATGTACGTCTCTTATAAAACTTTTTATCCTCTTCAACTTCAAGATCAATTTTCGGGGAAGATGCTCTGGCCAATTTGAGCATCGAGAAGCCGCTGGATCGCCCAGATGCACCAGTCTCTGGACACATAAGGATACGTGCCAAGAGTCAGGTGAGACTTTTAGGTCATTTTGGTTTGTTGAAATTGCAATTTTTAATGTTACCATTTACTACTAGGGTATGGCTCTCAGTTTGGGCGATAAAATCAATCACACCCAGAAGTGTCTACAGGAAAAATCTGTTGCGGCTTAGGAGGACCATACATATGTATTAGCTGCTTGATAAATTTATGTTTTTACTCTTTTTTGCATCTCACTTGCATCGTCGTTACCTATCCCAATTTTCAACGATGCAATTTGTTAGCAAGGAGCATAGTGTAGATTCCATTCTTATACAATACGTCTAGTATTAGAAATAATCTTCTGATGACGAGAAAAAGTGAATATTAACTGCAACAGGTAAATAACGACTACACACTCTCATTTCAACAGAACATGCAAAACGGATATGGAATATTTTTGTCGTTGATAATAACACATTCTGAAAAATCAAAATCTATGCATGAAGTTATTGTTTAACACAAACTATTGACTATTAATATATTCCAAAACATGCGAGTCTCATGGATTTAGTTTAGAAAGAAATTCTTTGTAGTATACTGCCGCTGTTCGCATAACAGTCCCTTGTGAATAAGAATGTCACAGGACATGAGGCTGTTATGCGAATAGCGGCTAGATCAGTGGGTTCTTCACTATTGTTGTATTAGTCCTCGTGGAGAATAAATGTTCTATTCCGGACACTTAACGAAATTTGAGCATTAAGCGTTAACTTCTGAAACTTGGACTCACTAATCCTCCAAAAGACGAAACAACAGCTAGGCCCTTTTGTGGCCGTGACGTGGATTTTTTTTTATTAACTCAAAACAGAGCATAAAACACTGTTCACACATATTGTATTTTTGTTGTTGTAAAAATAGCGTTGTTATGCATTAACACTAGGGGTGGAGGTGGGGTTGACAATAATCGTTATATCCGTTATAATTTATTGTTATATATATATATTTTTTTTTTTTTCTTTAATAAAGAATTAAAAAAAAAAAGTTATATCCGTTCCTATTATGGTGTGTCCCAATTATAGGTGTTCACCTATGCCATATTTGGAACACACTATAATAATAACGTATAGTCCTAACCGGTACATCCACCCTATGTAAAAATGCTATTTCAAGCGTTACGTAATATTTGAACGGACCTTATATCAAAATTTTGAATCCGAAAAGGAGCTAGGGATTTTGATCTTGTTTTCTACCTTCTAAGCGCAACCCGCGCTTTACCGCTCTTTTTCGAACGGGTTTGAAATTGAGTGTTTATCCTAAAGATAACTTTTAATTTTACTTTTCCATACGTACCGTTAAGTTTGATCATGAGTCACAAATTGTTAAGATATTGTTAAACATCTAACACTGTGTCTTGGTCCCTGCGCTTTGGTCAGAGAGCGTATAGGGCGTCGTTGTGCCAATTTGGTCGTGGCACATTTCGAGTATGAGAGAGTGATTGCAGTTTGCTCAAAAGTGCCTGAGTAAAATGCAAGTATTTTCGATGATTACCCGTAGTTGTTACAGTGAAGATATACACCCATATTCTCGTTTATGTCTGGACATGTTTGCCATACAGAAACATTTTTATTTGATTTTGTGTGGTGGATGGGTTTCGGGCGTGGACAGGCATATGGGCGATAATATTAAGTTTACGTTAGGATAACGTTGAAACATTGAGGAATGTATCGCTTCAGTTTAAGAAGCACTTCACTTCGCAACCGATGAACCATTCTGACGGCCCACATTGCCGTGCAGGCGCCGTGTGTTGGCAGGGTCCAATATTGGACAGTTTGACGTTTATAAAGTAGCATCAGTTAAAACTGTATATTTGAACTTTATCTCTATACATTCTTAGATGTTTCTTAGTAGATTATCATGTTGGTGTAAGCTGATTCAAAGAGTAAATGGTATTAACATTGAGCTGTCCATAGTTGGGCGTTGTTGAACTTCTGGTACTTGCACAACATTTCATCTGAATACCAAAGTAACCATATAATCACAAAATAGCTTTAGGTGTGGGTTCAGAGTGGTACAATGTCACTGAGATATGGTTAGTTGGGTATTCAGATGAAACTATTACTTTAAAAAACTAATCCTGGTTGTATCTCTTTTTCGTTTTTTCGTTTGCATGTAACACTGTTTGATATTACTAACCGCACCGAGCCTTCATTCCGGGTGGTGAGCGAACCTGAAGAAGAAGAAGAAGAAGAAGACCATAAACCCCTTCTCGGAACGAGTGTTTTGTTAGTGGACCTGGTCTGCTATTCAAGGTTGGACTCTGTGATGATAAGTATCACATAACAGGTAAAGTAGGCAGCACCATCTTTATCGAAATGTAAGTATTATTGACAATAATCATAACTAGATTATATACAATACAATAATACAATAAGTATTATTGATAATCATTATAACTAAATGAAACATAAATGCATATTCATCAGCACTCATTCTCTACCAATTCTGTTTTTCAATACCTTTTTCTCTCCTTTCTCTTATCCTTCATCTATGCATCTACGCTTCTATGTTAAGGATCACCTAAACCCTCATTCAATATTCGGCTGATTTCAATCGACTCGCATAAGTCATTATCTAAGAGCCATCTCATCTTTATCTATCTGATTGCTGCATGGAAGGTGTATAATTGGTCACCAAAATTACACTGGCGACCAGGCTCAATGCCCCCTCCAGCATGACACAATAACAATAACAATAACATCTAACACTGTGTCTTGGTTTCAATTTCGTTATACGAGTTTCAATTCAGCCATTGGATTTTATTCGTCATACGGAGGAAGGTAGGAAAAAGTAATTAGCGGAGTATAGTCGCTATATTTATAGTCTGGCGGATAGAATTTCGATTTATCAAAAAACGGAACCAATTCAATATATTGTAGATCAACAATTGAAAAGGTACTATCAACTTTTATAAACAAAACTGTTCCACGATAGCTCACTGGTTCAAAATACGATTTCGGAATGTGATGGTTTTCGCGAGAGAAACACTCGAATACGTTCGTCGTATACAAATTAGTTTACATATTTCTGTTGTTCGTTTCATACAGTGCTACCATTTGAATTTAGAGGACAAAATATGATTATTTATATATAACCACGTAAAGCTAACGCGATTGAGCCTTCCAAATAAACGAACTAGATAAAAAAAAAACACGATGGCTTATTCCACGTCATGTTTGAGGAGATCGCATTTTCTAATCCCTTGTTGATGAAATGGTTTTCGGATGGACACAAATTCACGAAAAAATATTTTTTAAAGAGAGCAAAAGAACAACACCTGTTCAACCACTGGAATTAGCTAGCCCAATGCCAGCGCAATGCTTCTGAAAAGCCGCCACGGGATGACTCTTAATCATTATGCCGGCATGTTGATCTGCTGAAGGAGAGCACTGAAGTTTGATTCTCTTCTGTCACACAAGGTTTCGTACGTGAAACTTGACATCTACATGTTTGATACGTCCGAAATCCTTCGATTCTTTCGCAATACGCATCGTAGACTGATTATCATTGTAGAGTACGATTGTTTCTCCAGGATCGTACCCCAAGACTCGCGACAATCGTGTCAACCACTGTCCATGGGAAGCTGCCAGTCAGATCCGCCTATGTCGAAGAAAGAGACACAGTTGACTGTTTCCGCGTAATGCACCATACGGTGCAACCAAACACTTTGAATACACCACCGCTAACAGAACGCCTATCCGAAACGTCGTTGGCCCAATCTGCGTCCGAAAACACTTCCATAGTGCCTACCTCAGTACTCCTCCTGTACACTAGACCCATATCCAGTGACCCCTTTACGTAGCGCAAAATTTGCTTGAAATACCCCCAGTTGGGCAGCTCTGATATTGGCTGAAAAAGTTGACGGATGATGCCAGGTCCGGCCTGATTGTCAACGTAGCATAGGTCAAACACCCAATCGATTCTCTGAAAGGTTGAGTCGTTCGATCCATGTCTTCACCACGAGGAAGCTTCAAGCGATTTTCCATTGGTGTTGAAACCGCCTTACAGTCTTTCATGTTGAACCGCCACAACATATCCTCGAGGTACTGTCTCTGACTAATTCGTATTTCACATTTCTTCACGTTGCGATCAATACGCATTCCAAGGAAACACTTAATCTCCCTACAGTCAGTCATTTCAAATTCTTGAGCCGAGCAACCCAACAAACAATTTGAGCTGATTAAAAACTGAATAAGCCAATTTTTAGCAGAAGAAGCAAATTTCGGCCTGTATAAGCTCATATTCAGCATTCAATGTTTGTTGGGAATCTTTCACCGTCTTCACCAGTAACACGGCGATTACAATATCGTCCACGTAAATAACCATAATCACTGTTCCCTTATCGGACTTCCACATGTATAAGCAGCACTGATCGTTTAAGCTTCGCACAATTTTTAGTCTGTTCTTCACAAAACTATGGAACCGCTCGTTCCACGCACGCGACGCCTGCTTCAACACATACAAACACTTTTTCAGACGGCATACCAGGTTATCTCCAGTTTCGAAGCCTTCCAGCTGTGGTATCCGGATTGAATACTTTCGTTTCCATGTTTTTGCGCTCGCTTGTTCCCCACATTCTATATTCGCTTCTTCTTCTGAGCTTTTGCGCTTGTACATGAGTTTGTATATTGGTACGAGGTGAAGTTTACAGTGTTGTTCATTGTACTTGCGAACAAACTTGTGTACAAATGGACATGAACATAGCTGAACATACAATGTGGAGAACAAGTGAGTGTAATTTAAATCTAAATCATCGCACTCATGTTGTACCGTGAAGACTGTCCCAAAAGTATGCGATGGGCTCAAAGCGGTACGGAGGATAGTGTAATTCGTTGGTCTCCACGCCGGTGCAACAAGGAGAGCAGATAGTGGAGGAAGGATAAGGAATAGAGGTTTTAGCAGCGAACCGCGGAAGAAGTAGGGCTTAGATCTAATTTTGGGCCTTCTAAGCACAACCCTCCCTTTGCTCCTATTTTTTGAGTGGATTTTTTTTTTCACAAAATGGAATGTTTTCACTGCAGATGACTTCTCAATTTATTAACCTTTTCGTACGTACCGTAATACTTGATAAGGAGTATCAATTTGTTTAGATATTGTTAAAAAATTAACACTGCTTTTTGACCCCAAACTCGGTCTAAGGATTCTAAATTCGGCCTATTGCATTGAAACCCACTAAAACGCCTTTGAATTCACTTCGGCCTATCGGATGAAGATAAAAATTGATTCGGTCGGAGCGCTTATTTTGTTTTTGAGAATAATGGGTGCAAACATTCATATCACGCGTTCTCATTGACTTCGTTCGGTAGCTTTTTAACTAAAGTATCGTACCAAACGCATAATTGACTTGTTAACTCTGAAATCATGGATTTATTTGAAGTTTTCTGCTCGATAGGCCCAAAATGGGCGATTAGGCCGAAGTAGTTCTATACCCTATTACAAAATTATCAGATCAACACGGCAGATGACGAGATTTGAGTCACTGAAATCACAAACTGCTTTAGCAATGGGCCTAAAAAAATTATGTTATATGAAGATACACACGGAAACAGGATAGCATCTCGTTTACAATAATAGGTACTCCCGTACAATATTGGAAATTCGGACAACATTTGAATATAGTTTGAAATCATTGCATTATATGTTGATGACTAGAAGTTGTTTTTTGTTGTTGCTTAAATTCATTCACAGCCTTAGGATCTGGTCCTTTAGGGAGGTTCAGTTCTTTGCGAGCGTTTTCTATTTACGTATCACAATCGCCCGCTTTCCATTAGTAGTAAAAATAGTACTGCTTCCGCCTGTTGCCCAGATATTTTGCATTTATATTGTTGAACTCCGGTCGCACTGTTCCTATCTCCATTGGAATTGTATGCATGGGAAATCTCGTAGTAAATTTCTGAAAGAAATCAAAGCCATTAGCAGTTTGTATATTTGGAGCATCGTGCAAGCATACATACAAATTGTTCGAGAGATTTTTCTGTTGGTGCTGGGGTAGTCAATTTACTTTCCTCGTTGGAAATAACCACCACTTCCGGTTCTTCAGCCTGTTCCATGCAGTATTGCATTAGTGTAGTATCAGTACAGCTTTGTTTGCAACATTCTTCTACTACTCCACGCTTGGCACGGTGATGAGTCTGCAGTACGCTATCAGTGGAACTCAGTTGATTGTAACCACCTCGAGCTTTGCACAGGTCAGAAATTCGATCCGCCAAGTACTTTCCACATGACCTTCTTAAAGCTCTTGCGTTAACATTTGAACTGCAAAGTACTATCAAGAGGACAACGGCCATGAACGTCTGTAAATAAAGGGAAATTTTTTGATCGACTATAATATTCTATGTACAATATGCAAAAAGTGTAAGGTCGCGGATACACTTATATGACAAACTATGAGCAGGAGCATCATTTGTATAATAATCATGAGCACTATACAACAACTATACTCAAACTTTACAAGTGTGACCATGGATGGGCTCATAATTTATTATACAAATAATGCACATGTTCATAGTTTGTCATACAAGTGTATCCGCGCATAATGTATGACAAACTATGAACATGAGCATTATTTGTATAATAAATTATGAGCACATCCATGGTTACACTTGTAAAGCAGATATCGCATTAAAAAATGAACAAAATAGGGTTTTTTTTAATTATTTTATTTGTCAAGGCTCAATTGCGTTAGATTTACGGAGCCGTAATTCGATATATAATAACAATATTTCTTATGACTAAAGTTAGTAGAATGGGGGGGGGGGGGATACTCGCGACTTACTCGTGGTTAAGGAATACAATTTTCAAACAGGTTGGACGTGGACTTAGGAAATTCTTAAATCGATCAGTATTAGAAAATTGTAAATCAACCTCATATATTTGAGATCGTGGCCAAGCATGGGAAAATTCATTCACACGCGCGAGCACCACATAATCAAAATAGACATCCTCACCTACAAACAGATTGCCGAACGAGTGTAAATTCTTCCAACCAAGTGACTCTGCAGGTCGACTCACAACTGACAGCAGTAGAAGGAAAGAAGGATAAAATGAAAGGCAGCCGAACAATTTTCTCAACCGAGAGAAAACTAGATGAAATGCGTAAAATCCTAAACGATTTAAATACCTGATGTCGTGACCTAACATCAGGTAGCCTCGGACACAGCTACACGAATCCGCGATGCTCTCGGCTGCTCTCCTGCTGCTGCTGCTGCTGCTTTTCCATCAAAATTCGTCTCAAGAATGTCTTCAACCAGCTTAGGTAGGGGAATTTACGTATTCTCGGAAATCTAAGCAGCTTCCGCACTTCTATTAGCATTTCCTCAGTGTCACGCACACATATGACGTGTCTGTTTGTTTACATTTATCTGCTGCTGGCTACTTTATCCATTCCAATCGACAGAACTGTCCAAAATGGTTTGAAAACGTTTTTAAGGCGCTCCAAACTTCTCAGGTGAGTGTGACTATTGTCGGCAGCCTCTTTTACTTCGGCAACCTTTCCGTTTAAACTGTATGTTAACCAGCTGTTCTATTATCGGCAACTCGAAATCAGCCGTGTTTTCATGTGCTTATGTTTCATTTGAAGAAACACCTGGCATAACAGGTTTTCTCAGTCGTACAAATGTATTAGGATTGAACCTGAAAGACTAAGGAATCGTTTAAATACATTCAGCGAAGCGTTTTAGTGAGAAAATACAGCGAAATTAACGTTTTAATTGTGGTTGCCGAAAACAGTCGATCGCTGCCGAAGTCATCATTTACCCTACCTCATATTTATACCTGCTAACATACACGCAAACCAAAAATTTATTACAATGAATGTTAGTTCCACTTCCTATCATCCTCTGTTCATGAACATCCCAGCGAATGTTAGAAGTTGACCTTACAAGGCGATATATCGTGTTCTATCTACGCTTTCGACTATACCAGTAAGCTTGTAGAACGACGCACATTGTAGAACATTCTAGAACGACGCACACACTTGTCTCGAATCTCTTCAGCAGAAAAAGCATACGAAGTCGAGTATGCGAGAAAATGAGCGCTTCATGTTTGCTTTTAGGCTCTCCATATTCAGAAGCATGTAGAGAGCAGTGGAGAAAGCACAGGTCTGATAATCGCAACGTTCGTGGTTCGAGTCCAGCCGGCAGTCTGTGTTCAATTTTTTTCGATATAACTAATTTACCTCACTAATACACACTAACACATAGAACATCTCTCTGTAAAACATCGTCGGTAGAACATTACCGCCATCTGTTGGCACATATGGCAGTAGTGTGTAAACGTCAAACGCAAGGGAATTGACTATGCGCGCCACATGTGGCGGTGCTACCAACTACGATACTTTTAAATTGTCCGTTAAATGCTTGTTCGATGAACCACTTGCGAGTGTTATGTCTGTTTGTCTGTGGTTTTTGGCTTACTGATTTAAATCAGTTGAATTGGCCACATCAGTTTTACGGTATTTGCGTGACGTTTATCGTCATTTATGTGTTACAGCATAACCGTTTTCTACATAATAATAGCAATTTAAATGTGTCAATGTACACTGAGGCAAATACACCTAAGAATTTCATAAGCGAACAACATATATGAATTTCATAAGCGTGACTTATGAATGATTTTCGGGTAACATGAGGTAGCTCGTATACGGCTTTAACCATTTCATATTCCTAAGCGCTGAAAGACGAGTGGTCAACACATGGGTCCCCTAACCTCAGCGTTCATTTTCCGGTTCTAGTCTGCTCCGATTTATTTATTTTTTGCCAACATTATTTTTCATAAGGCAAATCAATGAAAGGCACACTCATTTCTTATGGCTAAAATTCATAAGTGTTTCTTATGGAATTCTTACGTTCTTTTGCCTGCGTGTGTACACCAAATTCTAGTTTTGATGTTCTGTATTTTTTTTTTACGGTTTTGATCTGTGATCTTGACCGAGTGATCTGTAAAATTGCTTTAATTTTCTTGTCTGTCAAATAACTACAAGTTTTTGGTAATTTCTATGAGAATATTACTGAAAATTTGCATCTATTTTACCGATGTTGTTTGTAAGCCATGAAATGTCATTTAATTACTGTTCAGTAAAAGTTTTACCGATTTCCAGTGAACAATTTATAAATACTGACGAAAAATGTAAAAAAAAAAATACAGGAGTTCAGTAATTACTACTAAACGCTTCAGTAGAAATGACGGGAATAAAGGAGTAAGGGATCTTTTCAGTAAGTACTATTTATGTTATCTTAATGTTTTAAGTTTTTAGCACTCAAATACATTGGCTGGCGATCGCTGACTTGTTGGATAAACAGATTGACGTATAATAAAAATTGAACGAATTGCATCCAGTTCCCTATATTTCATTTGTTTTCAGTAAGAACTATCGAAAGAACTGTAATTTTTGGCGAAGTTTCTATTTTTACCGATTTTTTTGTAAATTTTACCGAATTTCGGTATTGAGTGATGAGCTAGTCGGTATTTTTTGACAGTTGAGTATACATTGCAAGTTTACTGATCGTTCAGTGAACCAAACCTTTGCCGAACTGATAACCGAATGTTCAGCTGTTTGAAATTCAGTAAAATGTTTACCGACAACTGTAAAAACAACTTGGTGTATATGTTTAAAACGTTTAAAACTAGACAATAAAATGTGATTCTTTCTGCAAAATTCTCATTCAGTTCCCAAGTAACATTGCTGGTTTTATCGCGGGTTTATAGCATTCTACAAGTCTAAATCATGGTCTACAGAACCCTCATAAAACCAAAATTGTTACTTGGGTTCACTCAGCAGAATGCAATCGTAAAAGGCTCAGCATGGAAAAAATAATAAGTGAGGAATCATCCACACTACTACACTCACTGTTTTGCAGCGTTAGAAGCCTATTGTTGTGTATAGGCTTCTAACGCTGCTAACGTACCGCAACAATAGGGCGGTTTCCCCTAATGGTTGTACGATAAAACCTTATCAAATTTTCCGGATGGGCTCCCCACGATCGAGATGTTTGTTATTAAAATCTTTAATAGGGAGATCGATATCTGGAGAAAGCTATGTTTCACAAAGAGCTAATGCATCACAATGTAAGTTGTGAAGTAAAAATTTAAACACGTCACGCTTCTGTATAACGCTTCTACAATTCCACTGCAGGACAGAAATCATATACTCGATGTTTTTTTTTGGAAAATTATCCATCAAAATGTATGATCGGAGTAAGCAAGGGCCACTTAGAAGCTACCTGCTTCAGAAGAGTTTTAAAAGTTTGTTGGAGAGCAACCCACCCCAAATTGGAAGGAAGCCGGTCAAACAATATTTCAGTGCGCACCATACGGGATTAGTGCGAGGTGTATACCTGACACATACATGGAGCAACGGAGAAGCACCTACACATCATCGATCACCAGCGATAGGAGATGGAAGAAATTCTCTCGCTCTCAGCCATTCAGCATTTGAAGACGACGATAAGAGGCAATTAATTAGGTCATTTTCAGTGTCGGTTAGTCCTCCAAGGAAGATGGATTGGCAACCGTGCAGAAGTTTAATGTGTTCAATGTTTAATGTATCATAAATTTAAATTAGGTACCTGTACCTGTATGTAGTCGTTCTATGTTTAAATATACAGCCATTGCAAGCAAAACGATTTAGTGGTAATTTTTGAAAAAAAAAAAACAAAATTTTTTTGAGCTACCCTAACATGGAAATGATCATCTTAATGACCAAATAAAAAAAAATACGAGCCTAATATTTTGCGATAAGGAACACAACTACGAATTTTTACGAAATTCTGAGTACCACTGTGTCGTTTTGCTATGGAATGGCTGTATAGTAGTGGAACATTACCGTTGCCTTTAAGTGGTGGGGGGGGGGGGGGGGTGTTGGTGGGTGGTGTGACACATCTAAATCTCAATTCTAGATGCTCAAAAAGTCTCACACTAGCGAATCAATCTTCGAAAAATCTTTTTTCATTTCTAGCATCTACTTGCATCGCGCATCATCTTTTTGGAGGAAATCTTCAAAATCTTCATCAATCTTCTTTCTATCTACTCAGCGTGCACGCAGCTAGCCACAGCAAAACACAATCTTTCCTGCAGCGTAGCTAGAGTCATCCCCTTCGGTTGCCTATGTGTTTATGCGTGTTTAATGTATACGAAGAAGGTGATTGGTCCTGAATCAAGGCATACACACTGTCCTCCACTCGTGTTGGAGGAGTGGAGCACCTCCCAAAAATACAATCAATGAAGGAATCAACTTCCCAAGGGCTCCCCCCAACAGGAAGCATTAAATTTATAAAGCTTCTCATCGAGTCAGATAGGGGAAATGACGGCTTCGGCATGACAGACTATTTTCGGCAACCCAAATTGAAACGTTAATTTCACTGGATTTTCTTTTGAAAACACTTCGCTGAATGCATTCAAACGATTCTGTAGGCTTTCAGCTTCAATTTGATTATATTTTTAAAACTAAAAAAAAAGCAATCTAGCAGAGTTTTCTTGAAGCACACGCTGCCGATTTCGAGTTGCCGGTAGTACCGATCGGGTGAAGCTCATACGAAACAAGTCCGACAGCATTAAGGTTTTCTTCGTCCCAACGGTATGCACTGATTGCAACTGAATGCAATCCATAATCTTAATTTTCGGAAAGGAAGAGGTCTTGAAAACATCAAGCCCATCCTTGCGAAAATCAAAAAGACGATTATCTTCCGCAAATCCCAAGCTCACCCTACTGATCAGCTAGAATGGGCGTGATTCTTGTAACCTTTCGGACTATCAACATTCATGCTGTTTGTTGCAAAAACTCTGAGGCTTGAAAATACCGGTCACCACTAGCTTTACAATAATAAGCCGTTGATTTTGTTTTTTAAACATTCATTCACGATTGCAACAAATCTTCGATGAATTTAACCTACCAATTTCATGGTCCTGCTTGTTCACAATACTGACACACTTTCGTAGTAAAGTAGCTAAAGGCTCACGGAAGAAACTTTCTTCGACAGTGTCTTCTCGACTGATTTTAACACACACTGGAACCGTTCAGGAAGCACTCTGCTCAGACTTCACTTCTCATGGACCTCTTTCCGTTAGCACTTTCTAGACGTTCTAGAGCACATTGGTGAGCTTATGTTCGAGGCACTGTCCATGGTGTTCCTTGTAGCACTTTATACAAAACGTGACACTTTATTCACATTGTAAAGCGAAAGGTGTCTACCGGTTCAGCGTGCAGCTGAAAATGAAACACTTCATCGGACCTTTTCCAATTTTATAGACACAGCACCACGTCTTCTTGAGCCGATTGGATTGAATGCTCTTCCGTGCAGTGCAGTATCTTGTTATGCTCTGACTGAGCAGCTCGACTAACCGGATCAATAGAGCCAAACCTGCCCGGCGATGCCGAGCTCCACTGTGGTGATGTTGTGACTATTGTAACTGTAGCGCAAAATAAGGCTAATCTGTCCTGTAACACATAGCTGATAGGAGTCTTTGAGCTTAGGTTGGCACTACATGATTTGCTCCCTCACTTGAAGACGTGCTCGAATTGCTTTGCTAAAAAGGGGTATCAAATTGTAACCTTTCAATTATCACGTAACAATAACAACACACTTGGTATCAAGGATGCGGTGTTAATGTGTTTTTTTGCATTTCTCTGCTTGTTTTGTTCCGCCGGAATCTCCTTCAGTATGCGCGGTTTCCCATCATCTTCGTCATATTTTGGAATATGTTGCTATCACCAAGTCAAGAGTGAGCTTTCGCTTGATAGTGGTTCACACCGATCCATGGAAGCTAATTTGAGAACACATGATGATCACAATACGGGGGGGGGGGGTATGGTGGGCTTCCCCCCAGACAATGTAGGGAATAAATACCGGAGCAATCTATTTTTGCATTTCAATTTGCTGCGATTTTAAATATCTTTAATATATTACCTACTGATGATAATTGGCCATCATCTTTTATTTGTTTCTTTGCTACACGCAAACTTCTTATAAAAAGGTTGATTTTCTTTAGCAGGGATACCAGATTCTAAGACATGTCATTCCATTTTGAATTCAATTGACTATAAAGTAATTTTTCCCTGCAAAAATGTGCAGATATGTTATGAAGATGTTTGAATTGTTTGAAAATATGAGAAAATTGAGGAAGACATCCGAAGGCTTTTTGAATTTTAAGCAGACATGTGAAGATTTTTGCTGTATACATGTTAATTATGGATAATGTAACCAATTTTGTTTGTTTTGTTTTGTTTTGAAACAATACTTGATCGACCGCATGATTTTATTGTTATCTTTAATTAGCTGGAAATCATTAAATACTTTCTTGTAAAGGTGGCATTATGAGAGTATGTTTAAGGGACGACATTTTAATCTTTGAACAGTTTTCGGTTTTCACAATAAGAACTAATCAACCTGAAGTCTTTAGAAATATTCAAAGGAATTAATTAAAATCCTCGATCAGCTGGAAATACTTCTTGATAAACGTGCCGTCTTAGGAGAATATCAGCGTACGCAATTTGAACTTCAGAATGAGCGTTATCAATCTGAAGTGTTGAAAAAGGAACCAGAGGACTGTACTGAAATTTATTCTCAGGCTTTCAAAACATTCCTATGATAATATCTGTTGAACCAGCAATCTAGCGAAAATCTTCAGAATGGTACTAGATCAACCTGTAACCTTGAAATTACATCTAGAGATCTTTATAGAAATCTTCGATTAGCTGGAGATCTTTCAAATACTTCCTGAGAAATGCGAAATTACCAATTATACCACTGTTATAATTTTCCTAGCTCTCTTAATTTGTCCAGGATCTGAGAATATCAATGACAATTTCCAATCTTCCTGGGAGACCCTTAACCTTTTTACAAATTTTTCTGAACATAACGAAGTTTTCAAAAGTTCCGGGAAGTTCCAAAAATAGTTCTTAGAAGTTTGCTGAATTTCTACAATATTCCCCACTGCCTCCGAAATTCTGTGAAATACCCTGAACTTTAAACATACTCAACATTATTCGCTTAACTTCTACAAAGATCGCTGAATTACTTGCTATAAATTCACTTCACTTCTATGATGCTTCCCGAACATTTGAGAATTTCTGTGATTTTCTGCCAAGTTTCCTTAAATTCTATACAAATTTTCAACTTCTTCGGCATCCCCTTAACTATTCCAACTCCTATCTTTAAAGAAGCTCTAATGTTAAAAGAAGGTCCTGAAATTTCAATAAAGTTTTCTGTGATAAAACAAAGTTTAATTCACTTCATCGAAGTTCCTCAAACTTCTACAAGTTTCGCAGTTTTACGAAGTTTTCTAGAATTATTTCGAAGCTCTCGGAATTCATATTAGATTCTCTGCATTTCTTCCATTTCTCTAAAATATCTCCAAAGTCACTGAAATTTTAAGAAAATCAAAAAAAGTTCATTTTTCTTAACTGAACAATGAATTTCTAAAATTTCTATAACATTCTACAAAGTTTGATGTAGTTCTACAAAATTATCTGTTTTTCCATGAAGTTCATTGAAGTTTTACGAAGTTCATTGGTTTTCCATGAAGTTCGCTGAGCTTTTTCAAAGCTACCTTATCGCTTGTATAGTTTCTTGCACTTCTGGATAGTTCCAGCACTTCTGCACACCAAATTTAAGTTTTTACAGTACGTTTCCTTAACCTCAATCTACCTGTGCACCAACTCTCAAAACATAAACAATTATCAAAATATTGCTTACAATGGATAGATATCGAGTAAACTAGAAGATTAAGTGTATTTTTCAACCGATTGGAGTATGAATATGGCATTAAATCTGGATTTGAAAGTTAATGCACAGGTAAAAAGTGAGGTTACGGGACGCCACTGAGTTTACAATACGATAATTTAGGGAAACTGGGATAGGGAACAGCACCTCCCAACTAACATTTTCAGCTTTGTAAGCCAACTTTTCCAGCGTTGTGCTGTAAAGTAGCTGAAACAAAGCTGCAGATACAGCTACAAGCAGAAGCTAGCAAACTGGTTTTGGTGAGCGTTTGCTCAACTTTTTCACAACCATTATTCAATTTGTCAGTCGTACTGAATAACAGCAGCCAATAAACGCTAATGTCACTTCTATGCAAAGTGCAGTTTTACAGCTTTTGCACTGCTTTGAAACTATTTTCTCTTTCACAAGGGTCAGAAGGACCCGTGTCTACGCCCCTAGCTGCTGGTCATGCCACGGCAACCGTCCGGGGTGGGCCTTACAATGGCCTCTTTTGTGAGAATTGTTAGGGTCGTTTTAATAATTGGTAACCTAGAAAAATTTCAACGTTTTTTTGCACCTTCTGTGCTAATCCTCGATGACTGGGTTATGTTCTATTAGGGATTATATTTCAGTTTCAAAGTGGATAATATATCAAAGTGGAAAATAAGCAGAGAACATAGTGAATTTTCAAACAAATTAATAATTAACAGCTTAATTTAGTTAGACCTGACATTTATTTTATTTTGAGGGATTTTCTAAAAGAGTGTGAGATTTTGTAGGATGGTGAAAATAAGCTAAAAGGGGTTCATTTTACTTGCGCATTTATTCACTCTGGACATTCACTTGCTCCTCGTTGCGGCCGTGATGAATCGGTGGTCGACATTGATGAGATGGCGGGAATGGCCCACGTGGCGGCGTCGGCGAGCTGCCAACAAACGTACGCAGCTGCATAGGGCTTCCAGACGACGGGGGGAATCCAGATGCGGCGGCAGGTGGCCTTTATGTAACGGAGGCCAGCGTTTCACTTCGCTTTGTCCGGGGAGTGGTACACTTTTGTGCGCGCGCACTTTAACCGCGAGTGTCTAACTTTAGTCGAGTGGGATTTCTAACGAAAGTTCTTGGACGGTCTTAACAAAAGGTCCAACGGTTCACCAAAGTCACTTTCTGGCGTTTTACTTGCCACACACTGACCGTCCGTGCACTCGCGTCGTACTAGTACGATTTATTTTTCTTCTACCTTCTGAACCGTGGACCACAGAAACTTAACACCACACTATTATCCCACTCGACGGATCAACTAGCCCTTGGCGAGTGTGTGGTGACGCTAGTTGATCACAATTTCGATCCTAAGGATCTGAACTAGCACTTGACGTGGAAACGCTAAGTCACGTGTAAAAAATGACTAGCCGCGAATTTCACTCCTCCGGACGAACTATTATTAAAAGAGAGCATCACCATGTCCCCGGAATCGGGAAAGCATCGCATCAAAAGGATCCCCTACACAAAAGCCGCGAACGTTGGCTCCTTCTTGACTCAGCGTCAGTGGTGATGACAGCAGCAACAAACAATTTCATTTGAGAAGGTTGGTATTACGGTCAATGATAATTTGAATTTAAATTTTTATGGCATGATAATTTCATTGCTTGTTCGCCTTATATTGCATGGTAATTAATTTAATGAAACAAATTTAAATACTGCTGAATAAATATTCACAATGCCGAGAGACAATACCAACCTTAGGCTAATAAATACTCAATATTTGACACCCAAAGCACATAACATGAAGTATATACAAATATTTTATATTTGAACATTTACTAACAATATATTTATTTTTTACAATATATTCATTTTTATAAATTAAGCTGCCTCAGTAATCAAAGAATCATTGTAACCGTGGAAGCGTTGGTTACAGCTTCTATACAAAGCTGAATTAACTAGTCTAGAAAAGTGATTCGTGTGCACTATTATAAAGTCTCTAATCAGCAATGTTGTTGTAGAAGGACGTGTATTTTTGTTAACGTCAGTTCAAAGTGTTGGCGTAGCGAAGTTGGTAGTATCAAGGTTCGTCAATGCGATCGTCTCGAGTTCGATTCCAGCACAGCATAAAATTAATTTTGATATCACATCAAAGTGGATGCACTTCAATCGTGTCAAAAATATGGTGTAATATTACTTGCAAAAAAGGACAACATTGTCATCAATACAGTGCATGAACTGACATTACGCTGCTTTCACTGCATTTGTTTATTTTTGTGGCCATAAAAATTACATGAGATTTTCGACATGATTGAAGTGCATCCTTTTGGATGTAATATTAAAATTTATTTTTGCTGTGCGGTACAGTGTAAATCATTTGGTGGTGTGCTTATAACTAATTCCGATTTATTTGATTCGTAATAAAATAAATTTGATAAATTCCTCCAATAAAAAAAAAATTTGCGTAAACAATATTTAAACTGGCGTCAAGCGATTATTGGATAATCGGGTAAAGGTTGAGTAAGCGCCTTTCAATTTCACACACATCTAAACAGCAGGATAACAGCTGTATAGAAGCGTAAATAGATATGCAACAAGAGTTGGTCCCAACCGCCATAACAGCCATAAGTAGCTGACTAAGTT